AACACAGCCACTTCTCTCGACTCTGGAAGTGCGAGCGGCACCTCCTGCATCTTCGAACGAGAGAAAAGGGAGCTCTGATCGTATGTGCTTGATAACCGTACGCAGTTCACAGGGAGGCAAGGAGGCCACTGTGGCGGAAGCCAACACTGCATTTGATGTGTTCTTCACTCAGCTCACAGGCAGCCTTTCAAGCCATGTTATCGGTCCCCACATCTTGACCTAATTTTACAAGTTGCCATGGGAGCCCAGGGAAGGTTGATGCAATTTTCTTATCTTTGGGGAAGAATGTAACCGTGCAAGAGAACGTGGAAATGGTGTCTCACTGATTCCCACACTTACAGAGCCGTGCCTGAGACAGCGGATGAAGGGACAAAGCCATTCCTGCGACAGCACTGCAAAGACCAGGCTCCCGGCAGGATGGCAGGGAGAGGGCAGCGCTTCCCAGCCCAGAGAAGGCTGCACGCGCCCCAGTGCAGGCCGAGTTCTGCTGACGCGAAGGCACCAGTGCTCCCGCGCTGTGGCAACACACGCTCCGGGGCAATCGGAGTTCCAGGGAATAGCCAGGAAAGGAGGGCAGAGCTGGAGGCGGAAACAGGTGTGACTTCCATGGGCAGCGGAAGCTCCTGCCAGCCCTAGGGCAATGATTTCCACTTCCAAAGCACCGCTCCCAGTTTCAGCTCCTCTGCATCTCAGCGTGAAGCCAGACTCCGTGCACAGTCCTGCAGGTACTGCCTCGGGTATAGACGAGGATGGCCCATGTGCCCCCCACTATCTGCACCCTCCGGTGTATCTGACACGAGCAGGGCCGGGAGAGGGGCAGGGCAGGCCAGGTGGCACACGAGATCGATCTGCAGTGCAGGCAGAGGTGTTTTCTCCAAGCACTGAGAACAGGAAAAAAGCCACCACAGCCTGACTGGTCCCCACTCACCTAACAAACCCCAACATTCCTGCAGACCACAAGTCGGAGAATCGCACTGGAGACTGAGGGCAGCCCGACTGAGCTCTGGAGGCCACGCCCTTCTCTGTGCTCAACACCTGCTGAAACGCTAAGATCCTTGCTCTGCGACAGTGGAGGGGGTTTCCTCTGGTCTAGCAAATGTCTGGCCCTCGTTTGTTTCATTAATTGATTTAGTTCAATTACATTTTCACAGGCCTCCTCCCACAAAGATAAGGATGAGCACTTCCACTTCACTAAAAGCAGAAAAGGGTACAGGTAAATTTGCCTAAAATCGCACAGTGTGTCAAGGGCTGGGTGAGAGCATGAGCACTTCTGTTTTCTGGACCATTGTTCTCACCACCCTCTGAGATGGTGGGAAAAGTTATGAGGAAGAAACAGCAGAACGTGAGATGCTTAAAAATGTATTCTAATTCAAATGACTGCTTCAGCCTTCTGGTCCTTCGAGCCGATACTCTCCCCGGTTCTCCCCTCTCTGGGTACCTCTCTC